AACAACTCAAGTGGCAGCAGGAAACATTAATATCAACGAATAATAAAATTCAAGAGCTTCAATCACAAATCACGAGTCAATATGCCGTGGCTAAAGATATGGGTTTGCCGAGTCCTCAACATCTCATGTACCTTCCGCTTTTCGAACAATTGCGTCTTCCCAACGCGGGTCTATCAATGCATTTAGCACAAAATACGAAGGGAAAATTCGTTGAAAATTCGTTGGGCGTGCCCCCGTGCACTCTTCCCAATTGGGTATCCGCGACGACGCAGTTGGCACAAATATCTGCGAACATGAGTAATAAAATGCCGACGTCGCCCAAATCGACGACGCCGGAGGAAACGGATGCTCCGTTGAATTTGTCAAAGCCAAAGAACGCGAGAGAGAAAAGTTTGCCGATGGATTCGATTGCTGCGGCTGCGGCTGCGGCGGCTGCTGCCGCGGCCACGCCGAAGCTATTGCCTCCGAATATGTTGATGCCACGCGGATTCATGCCCTATGCGGGACTTCCATCTCATTTGAATTCTCTCGCAGCTCAAAAACCTCATCACGGAAATCAAAAAGATTTACTTTCGTCTCCTCCCGATAAACATCCTCCGCACTTTCCAATGCCGATGTACATGCCGAGTCCGCCTCCACATCTCACAGGGAGCAGCAAGGGTCATCACACGACGTCGCAAGAGGATGCTTCTCTTCCCGGTAATAAAGAAGACTTCGTGGCAGCAAGTAAGTTTCCACTTTTCTTTTGTAAATAACATGTTTTTCGTTTTTCAAAATAAGTTTTTTTCTCACATATTTGCGACATGTTTTTTAGTGTGGGGAGCAGACCCAAATTATAAAATCCCTGACGATAACGGGGACAAAGCAAAAATAATACGTCAGCAAAAGAGAGACGGAGAAAGTAAACCTCATATAAAAAGGCCCATGAACGCATTTATGGTTTGGGCAAAAGACGAACGTCGGAAAATTCTCAAAGCGTGTCCCGACATGCACAATTCGAATATATCAAAAATTTTAGGTAAAAATCAATCAAATCAAGAATTTTTCTTTACAAAAGACGAACAATAATAATAATAAACTCGTGATAATAATTTTAAAAAATTCAGGTGCTAGGTGGAAAGCAATGTCGAACGCGGAAAAGCAACCCTACTACGAAGAACAGTCTAGGTTATCAAAATTACACATGGAAAAACATCCGGATTACAGATATAGGCCGAGACCGAAGCGAACGTGCATTGTAGATGGGAAAAAAGTTCGGATCTCAGAATACAAAACGTTGTTGAGGCAAAGACGACAAGAAATGAGACAGATATGGTGTCCGGAGCGAGGGTCCGAAATGGGTTTCATGGCGGCGGGAAGCGACATGATATCTCCGGGAACGTCGGGACGCATGTCGCCGGGAATGAACGGAGCCGGACCGAGTTCGGAGCAATTTTATTACCCGCACGATAGTTTGTCACCGAACGACATGAGTTACAGTCCCGAAGGACCGGGATCCTCGTACGACACTAGCCCTAGGGGTAATTTCAACGAAGACTGAGTCTAATAAAGCCGCCATCATCATGACCACGACCACCGAACGAGAATGATGACCGACCTCACCCTTGACAAAAAACGCGTATTGTTGCCAACTTTCCAAATATAAATAAAAATAATTATTTTTTAATTTATTTGAATCCGCGTTTTTTAAACAAAAAATAATAATAATAATAATAATTCGGTGTTTTCTCAGTATAAAAATAAAAAATTATTAAAGTTATTAAATAAATAAGCATAATAAATTATTAAATAAATAAATTAATTAATTAAAAACTTTTATATATACATATATATATTTAAACGTATGGAAAAATTATGTAAAAAAAAAAAAATTACCCCCGTCGTTTTCAACGGGGAAAATATATCGTTCGATATATCGTTTCGAGTTATCGAATGACGAGCAGACGACGTTATTTATTAATAAAACAATAAACATTTTTATTATTATTTATAAATATGAGTATAATATTTATTGAAAACGGATCATCAACAATATTATTTATTGATTGATTGATTTTTTTTTTTTGTTTTTATTTTTTTTTTAAATTGTTTTCGTTTATTGATAACCGTCATCGTGTAAATAATAATAATGATAATGATAATAATGATAAACAGTATGATGAAAGTATTAAATATATATATATATATATACATACGACGACAGGACGTTTTTAATATCAAACTTAATAAAAAATTATAAACTTAATAAAATAAAATTCGAATCATTATTATTATTATTATTTTCAAATAACCGGAAATGAATAGTAATAATAATAATAATGATAATAGTATCGTATTAATAATGTAAATAATAATAATAATAAATTTAGGATTTGCTCTCGTTCGAACGTTCAAGTTTTTTTTTTATTTTTATTTTTTTAATTGTTATTATTATTATTATTATTATTTGTTTATAAAAAAAAAAACTTGTAAAACAAGTTAAAAAGTTTTTATTAATAATAATAATGATTATTATTATTATTTTCTTTTTTTTTTTTTTACGTATTTTGTTAATTTAAATCGCCACGTCAAACAAAAATTTAAAATAATAATAATAATAGTTAGCGGTGGTGAAAAATTCTCTCACGAAATGATAAAGTATATGAGTTTTTTAATAATAGAATAATAATAATAATAATAATAAACGAGAGGGGGACACGCCCTTTTTTTTATTAATATTTTACGCCTGTACGTACCTGTTATTGTTTATACCCGGGTAATGCAAAGGCCTTTTTTTGAACCTTTGGGCGGTTTACTTTGCTACTCACATTTTATTAATTGTTTTTTTTTTTTTTATTTTGTTATTAATGTGTGGTAAATATTCCATTTGTCTTTTCTCTACCACCCCCGCCCCCGCCCCCGCCCCCCCTCTCCCCGAATCGGGTTCCCCGTTTTCCCATTTCCCGGTTTTTTTTTTATTTAATTTGTTTTACTCTTACCGGTGTAAATTTTTGTTTTTGTTATTATTATTATTATTTAATTATTTTATTTTATAATTGTTTATTATTATTATTATTATTTGCACTTTACTTTATTTATTTAAAAATAATAATAATAATTAACGACGATGATGATGATGGTGGTGATGATGATGGTGTTGACTTTATCGTTAAGTGAGAAAAATTTTTTTTGTTTTTTTTTTAGCTTTAAAAACTCATTTGAAAAATTATCATCATCATCATCATCATCATCGTCATTATCATTATTATCAGAGTCAAATTTTATTTAAAAAAAAAAAACAACGTACTTCTACCGTTTGTTTGTTTGTTTGTTTTGTTTTATACTTTTTTTTTATCGATCGTTTGTTATGATTTTTCGTATGGAAAAAAAACGGTGCCCGATTATTATTATTATTATTATTATTATTATTATTTATCACTCATAAATTAATTAAGTAATCATTATTATTATTATTATTATTACTAACGTCGTCGTCGTCGTTAAAAAAAAAAAAAAAATTTTCTCACCCATCATATCTTGTAATACTCTACGAGACATTGACGTTGGAAAAAAAAATCATTAATAAATAAATAAATAATTTCTTATCATTCTTATCACTACTTATGTACATACATATGTAATACGTGAGTAAAAAAAAAAAATGAATGAGAAGAAGGGGAAAAAAAACAAAACAAAAGCAAGACAAAAATATTGTGAAAATATAACAAAAATGATGTTTACCCCATTCTCTCTCCCCCTCCCCCGTTTAAACGCATTATTATTATAATTATTATCATCATCATTATCATTATTATTAATATTAAAACCGAATCACTATTTAATGGTGGGCCTTGTATTATTTATATATATATAAAAAATTATTAATTTTAAGGGTTGAAACACAAACAAAAAAAAAACATTTCTCTTAAATATATATATATTATTATTATTATTATTGGAAGGGTAAATTTTCCAAAACAGATCTCATTGTAAAATATATATATATCATTATCATTATTATTATTATTATCAATTAAAAATAAATGAATGAATGAATGAGAATGAAAATGAAAATAAAAAATTTTTTTTGATATATATATATATCTAAATAAAATTTAGAAAAATTGATAAAATAAATTAAAAATTACAATAATGATAATAATAATAAGTAAAAAAAAATGATTATAATAGAGTATTATAAATGTTTAAACAATTTCATAATGATAATAATAATAATAATAAAAATGTGGCTTTCGGTTAAACGGCGGAAAAGTTATGAAAAATGTTGAGAAAAAAAATTATTAATTGTTTATTTATTTATTTTTTTATTATATGCAAAATCGTCATTCCTTTTGTTTGTTTGTTTGTTTGTTTTGTTCGTTTGTTCGCTCGTTCGTTCGTTTGTTTTATTTGCTTCCTATTTATTTAGGATTTTATTTGATGATTACTCGCGTACTCCGCGGACACACACACGCGCGCTTCGGAAATACTCTCTTACACGTTGATAATGATGATTAAATAACATTCCCTGCTCTATTATTATTATTATTATCATTATTATTATTATCATTATCATTTATATTATTATTATTAATCAATTGACGCCGCGAAATAAATAAATAAATAATTCGATATTATTTATATATTATATAGATCGATAATTAAATTTTTTTAATAAGTAAATAAGTACGTCACAATTATTTAAATCGTGATAATGATAATGATAATAATAATAATGATGATGATAATGAACAAAATGTGATTTTAATTTATATTAAATAATAATAATAATAATAATAGTAATGAAATATCTGTGCCATTATTATAACTCTAAAAATAAAAAATAAAAATGAAATGAAAGCCATTTTGACGCCATAATTATTTATTAATGATAATAATAATAATAATAATAATATTTTAATTATTATTTATGAAAAAAAAAATTAAAAAAAAAAAAAACTTTGTTTATTATTATTATTATTATTATGATTTATGTACAGTTTTTATTTAATTTTTTATTATTATTTTATTGTATTATCATTATCAATCAATTTTTTTTTATCGCTCTCTCTCTCTCTTTCTACTTTATATAAAAATAGAAAAATTTATTAAAAAAACATTTAATTGTGAAATTGCAATATTATTATTATTATTATTCATATATATATACATATTTATTATTATTATTATTATCATTATCATCATCGTCATTATTAAAAAAAATATTGTGTAAAAAAAAATATATAATTTTATTTATAAGGCCTAATGTTATTATTTATTAGTTTAATATTATTATTATTATTATCATTATTATTATTATTGTATTATTTTACATAATGTATAAACCCTATTAGATAGGTACATAGATAGATAGATAGATTTTAAACAGATTATTACTATACTTAATAATAATAATAATCATCGTCATTATTATTATTATTATTATTATTATTATTATTATTATTTCACAAAAAAAAAAATAATAATAATGATGAGTAGAAATAAAAATAAAGTCGGATGTTGAAATCATTCAGTATTATTATTATCCACCATTAAACACGACAAGGCTACTTGTCGGGGTTTTTTTTTTTTTTTTTTTTTTTTAAGTATTTATCCGAGGTTTCTACCCGATTCCTTAGGGACAAATACTCGAATTTCGGTGGTGCCACTTATTATAAGATAGCACCACATCAATTCTTGAAAGTCTTCCTGAGTCCATCTTTTATTCGATGGGAACGATTTGTCTCCTGAACTGGGCTCCAGTGACTAACATCTTTGGAGTGGCCAGGGTCAGAAGCAGTGAAATTCACATTCTCGTCGAGCTGCCTCAGGTTGACAGTAGAACAAGATTTGTTTTTGGTTCTTACTTTGTCTTGTTCTCATTTTTTTTTTTTTTTTTTTTGCTCTTTTTAGGCCAACGGCACGTGGCGTTCTCAAACGGTCACCCATCCAAGTTTGCACCACGCCCGATGCTGCTTAACTTCGGTAAGTTATTATTATTATTATTATTATTATTATTATTTCTTTTTTTCTATATATTATTATCCCGAAACCCTATAATCGTATAATCACCTGATACCAATTAAAAGGTTATTGAACTTTTCATTCGTTAATTAAAAAAAAAAGAAAATTTTTTGGAGGCGCCGGGTATCGATCCCGGTACCTCTCGCATGCTAAGCGAGCGCTCTACCATCTGAGCTACGCCCCCTCCGTTATTAATATTAAACAAGGTATCCGACAACAAGACTACGCAAAAAAAAAAAACAAAACAACCCAGTTTTAAATATTAATAAAATAAAACGAATTAACGACTTGATTTAAAAAAAAACGAGATTTATAAGAAGATTCATTCATTCGTAAGTTAAACAAAGCGGGGAACGGTGTTTCTTTCCTTTTCTTTTTCTTTTATAAATTCAAAGCCGTCAACAACTCGTTTATCTGCATGGACGATATGGAAAATTCATTTTTGTCTTTCACGTTTTCCCTTGAAATCAATTCTTTTATTTTTCCCAACGTTTCCGCGAGATTTTCCGGCGTCATAAAATCGCAAAGGTGAAAACTATCCGTGAGTAATTTCTCGACACGAGAATTCAAAGGATGAATCAATAACGATTTTAAATTTATTCTTTCTCTCACTTCCGCCAATTTGTCGCAAATCAAATGAGTGATTCCTAATTCTTCGCAGTACGGATTCGGATTTCCCTTTTCGAAAACTCCAAACTAAAATTCCCATCAACGGAAAACACAATTAATTAATTAATTAATTAATTAATAAAAAATGATGTTTTTTTTTAATCGAACGTTCCACCTACCTCGTCGTTCAAATTGTTTTCATTTTTCTTATTTTCCTTTTCCGACACAAACGACGACAAAGCTCCGACTATTAATTGCGTCAACAAACTCAAAAGTCTTTCTTTGTTTTTCCCGCAAACGTTTATATATGAATCCAGTAGACATTGTTGAGTTTTCAAAGGTACGAGATAACAAACGGGCCATTCGAGTATTTTCATTTCCACCGTCAAATCATCACCGCATGTAGCCATTAAATGATTTTGAAATTTGCACGCGAACGTCGTTGCCGCTTTTCTCACGGCGACATCTTCGTCTACGAGCAAAGTTATCGGAATCATCCAAAGATTCATCTCTGCAAAAAAAAATTGTAATCAATCGAAATCGAAAAGGAATTCTTATAATAATAATAATAATAATAATAATAATCGTTATTACCATCGATAAAAAAATTCTCATCGTTCAACAAAGCATGAAAACAATGATTGATTATTTTCATGACCGATAATTTTTCCTTCGCATCCGCTTCCGGCGACGCGAATCCCTTAAACCTTTTCCCGAGTTCTTTCAACTTGAATTCGAGTTCCTCGTTTTTAAATTTTCCACTCGAATTCATAGTAAATAAATAAATCGAGTACATAACGAGAGATGAACTGGAAATGGTTTCGTCCTCCGATTCGAGACATCTTTCCAAGTTTTCCATCGATTGATTTTCATTGGCAAACAAATCCGTCCTGTCGAAAACGAAAACGGATGTGAATACGAAACTGCACGTTTTGAACCAAAATCTATTAACCGAAATTGATTTGAAATGATTGTTATCGAGAGGTTTCATCAAACATTTCAACAAATCCGTACTCGAAAGACAAAATAAATTTTTCAAATTTTCCACCGCGTCGTCTTTTCCTTTGAAAATTAACAAACCGGAAATCGGTGCTGGAAATGAATTTTTTTTGATAATAAAGCAAAATTAATAATAATAATAATAATAATTTATTTTTCTTTTTCTTACCTCCGATTCCGGTAAAATCATTATCTTCTTCTTCGAATAACAAATCATCTTCCGTTCTCCTCAGAATAAAACTTACGAACCTGAGGGAGAGCAACTGGATTTCGCCGATTCCAGAATTTAACATAAACGTTAATAATTTCACTACGACGTTTTCACCGTTTCCTTTTTCCTCATCATCTCCTAACCCCGTTAGAAAATACGTCACGACGTTTAATTTTAAATGGTAAAAATTTTCCAGACACAAAAATATTCCCGGCTCGTCGTTTCCCCCTTCCCTACCCATCCTCGAACATAAATTTTCGAAATCCAAACAATTCGTTGTAATTTCGGCAACGATTTTTCTAAAATTTGAAAAATTATCGAACAAAACGTGTAAAACTTTCAAATACTCAGATTTTATAACGAATGATATTTTTCGATTTGTTCGCTTCGTATCCAATAACCATTTGGTCGTCGTCAACCACGACGATTCAATTCGAAAATTTTCCGACAAATTTTCTTTGAAAATATTTTCTAAAACGCTCGTCGATTCCGCTATCAAAGCTCTTATCTGAAAAACAAAGACTTTTTTTTATCGAATTTATTTTATTTATTTTTATCGTAAGTGAGGGGAAAACAAAACCTGAAGTAAAATCCCGTGGATTTCGTTCGATGAAAGTTTATTACTCTCGTTTAACGATTCGAAACGAATGTCGAGTTCTTGTAATAATCTATCCGGAGATATTAGAGGAACCAAAGCTCTCGCTGATAATTCTCGAATTTTCGATGTCGGATTACGACGACTTTCATTAATGTAGGGCAAAAATTCAGACAAGTCGATCGTGTTACAATCTGGAAAATGAAAATTTTATTTTTTAACCGGTGCCTTTTAATTATAGGTTTACTATCGAGTCGTACCTACCCTCTCTCGGAGTTGGATACAACCTGCCCAAAATCAACAGGACCAAATACAGGCTAGGTTTTGGAACGCGATTGGAATTTTCCAAAGAATGAGTCAATTTCATTTCCGACAATAAGAATTCGTATAATTCGGAATACCTTTGGAAAAATGTTCTAAAAAAAAAAAAAATTAAACGTAAACCGATTTTTCCAATTTTTGGGATTTTTTAAATTTTCTATATTATTAACCTGCTCGTCATCCTGTTTTTTTTAGAAATTTCATCTCGACTCCTGGCAACTCCGAATATTCGTATTATCAAAGAACTAAAGAGCAAATTTGAAGAATTTCTTTCCGACCAAGTTGGACCACGACTTCCTCGTATGGCAACCATGACGGCTAGAAAAAAAAAAAAAAATGGCGTGAAATTAAAAAACATGGATGGACGTTTGAAAAAATTTTTAACGGTATTTTATAGTACCTTTGGATATGTACGAAGAAACGTGTTCGCCCAATTGCGCGTGTTTAAAAAGTGCTCTTAAAATATTCAACGCGTGAATTTTAGAATCCAAATTATCCGCGACTCCTTCCTCTGTGATTTTAAGCAAAGATTTCATAATTCCGTGAAGTGTAGACGGCGTGGGAGACTTGACGGAAACTATTTCCGAACAAATGACGCTCTGCAAACAAACCTTTTCTGTACAAACAAACCGTTTTTTTTTTTTTAAATACGTGACTTCGTTTCGTTGGTACGAACTTGAATTAAAAATGGAAGTCCTGCACTTCTTCTCGTTGAACAAAGTTTCAATTTTTGATCTCTGCTCGGTAATTCTAAATGATTCGCAATTTCTTCGAGCCAAACTCTCGGTAATTTGCTCAAATTCGGATCCGTGCACAACCACAAGGAATTTACAAATTGCGTGAAGCTCACGTAAACGTGTTCGAAACTTCCACGATGTTTTATTTCGCACAACAAAATTTTTAATTCTTCTCCAATTTTAATTATCGTGGATTCGGAAAAAAAACCCATTTCGACTAGGGAAATAAATTTAAACGTCAGACAATATAAACTGATTCAAAAAAAAAAAAATAGAAAAATGAGGAACCTACTTCCTGTTTCGATGGGAACTTTGCTTATAAAGTCTCCCAAATATAAACATGCTTCTTTTATCGATCTCCAGGCACATAATAAAAGAACTTGAGCCGTCGCTTGCCAATCAACTGCTTTGTTATTTTTATCCAGAGTAATAATTAAATTTTCGATTTCTTCTTTCGTTTCGCAAAGTTTTTGTTTTAAATGAGACTCTTTGAAATTTCCGACATTGAGTAAAAGTAATTTATTGATTTTTAACAAACATTTGAGACTTCGAAGTATTTCGTAGTTGTCAAATTCCGATTCGTTTAATTCGTCTTTGATTTTTTCTAATTTTTTAAATAAGTTATTACTTAAGTGAGAAGACAACGACGACAACTTTGCATCTCCCTTTTGCGACGAATCTAAAAATTAAAAAGTAAAAAAAAAAATTGAAAATTTATAATTGAAACCGGTTACGCGAGCGCAGTCAAAAAAAGCACCTTTGCAAGAGTCTATTTTCAAAAGATTTTCAAAACTTGTTTGAAAATCCATTGGAAGGTGTCCTTCGGGAGATGAACTATTTACAACGCATGTAACGATCGGTATTATGTCGAAACAAATTTCTACCAACTCATTTAAAATCCTTTTCCAATTTTCCACCAGGTACAATTTTTTTTCCATCGCGACCTCTAACAAATTTATTTTAATTAATTAAATTTTATTTACGAAAAACAAAAACAGAAAAAAAACAAAAAAATTAAACTTTACCGTCTTTGACTTGAGAAAAATTAACATTTTTATAAAGTAATCTTATTGCGAACAATGTTCCGTACATGGGTCCGCAAGTTGAAGCTGTGAGTAAATCCAGTTTGGCCAGAGAAACTTGATATGTTAAATTATTCGTCAATAATTTAATGCAATCGAAATAAATGTCTCCCCCCTCTTCCTCGGGATTATCATTTTTTATAAAATATTTTGTCAAAACTTCTTTGGCGGAGGGTAAATTCACAAGAATTTGTAATAAGTAAGACCCCGTTAAAACGTCTGGCGGTTCCATGTGATTTATTAGCCTTAATGATTTCTCAAATAGTCGTCTGGTCGTTTCGACCTTCTGCAAAATATCAAAATAATAATAAACGTTTTCATTATATAAAATTCTTTTGCAACAACAACAACAACAAAAAACTCACTGCGGCGTCTAATGTTTCGAAATTCAATTTTTTCGATAATAAAACGGCGAGTTCTTTATTTTCTTCGTAACTGCTATCCAAAGCAATGAGAAATTTCCTCCAATAATAATTTGTTTTTTTCACGTCGAAAGACATGCCTTTTATATATTCGAAACATAGGAGTAAAATGTTTAATACGGTGTTCAATCTATTAAAATTACATCCCACGAATATGTTCGAAAAACAAAATTCTACGAGCCCCTCAAGAAATTCATCATAGCTATGATCGTTATATTTTTCTCCTTCTGAAATTTTAATTTTGTTTTTTAAATCCTTTTGAAAATTAACTCTGCTGTCGGAAAATCTGACAAACATCTGAAACAATCATTTTTTTTTTTTTTTTGTTATTCAAAATATTTTTGACATTATGACCAAATTTTATTTTTTTTGAAAATTAACCTTTCGAATCAAAGCTAATATTTTTTGTCTTGTCGCAGGTTGTTGATTATTTAAATTATATTTTAAAAAATACATAATTAAATCGAAATCTGTATTTGTAAATGGTTCGCTTGTTTTACGCGCTTCTATTAACAGTGAAAAAGCGGATATTCGAATTTCATCATCACCCTGATGTAAACAATGCATTAATAATTTATTGTCGACGAGTTTATCGTATTTTTTCCCCGTTTCATTTCTTAAACCTAAAAAAAATTATTTTTAATTAATTAAAAAAAAAAAAATACGATTACATAAACAATAAAATAATAATTAATTTTACTTTTATTTCTACTAAATCCTTTAGAGTTGCTTTTTTCCAAAACAAAATCGTTTGTATTTGTTTTAAACTTGAAACCTAATCGATGGCTTATTTTTAATGCTGTTATAACGCAACGTAATTCTTCTCTTGAAGTTGGATGTTTCCTGGAATGTTTAAAAATCAAAATTACTTTTATTTTACGCAACGGATTTCTTCGATGTTAAAAAAAAAATATATTTACCATTTTTCCGTCACGTACAAAGGTGCATGAGAATATTTTTTAAAAGTTTTTTCTAATAATTTATCAATTTCGGCTGCTATTATTGGTAAAACGTTTAATAATGATATGAGTAAAGGTATGATCCAAAGTTCGCAAAATCCAATAAAATCATTTTCTGCCAGCGTATCATTTAAAATCATACTTTCAACCGCGAAAGATACCTAAAAAAATGCATTTTATACAAGTTTTTTAAAAAAAAAACCCCAAAAAAAAGGAACAAAAAAAAAATTTAAAACTTACGTGAGAAATAATCGTGGGATCGTACAAACTTTTAATTAACTGCTTGGTTATATTAGGATCTCTTTCGATTAAAACTCTAGCTCCCAATTCATTAGCCAGAGCACCCACACCTATAAAATAGCTTCTTTTATCTACTGGTAATTTAAAAGTATAATCTATAACACTATTTTGTAATGAAGGATTGGATACTAATAGTGGTAAAAAATCCTTGGCTGAATGTCTAACACATGACACTGGATGTTCCAAAAGCATAAATATGCAGGGAAGTATCGAGTTTAAAAAGTTCTTTTTTATTTCAACATTAATTTTCGACAAAAATTTATCGAAACAGTCATGCTTTAATAACTGTAAAAGTGTTCTTGATGTATTTAATACGACAGGAGTTTCACATGAGTACCTGAAAATTATAAATTTTTGTTAATTTAAAATTTAGTAACTTAAATAAATAATATGTAATGTTTATAAGTGAATAAAATTAAAAATACTTTTCACATAAGTTAATAAAAAAATTCAAATAAACATATGTGGATTCCTCATCGATAATTTTGGAAGACCATTTATTAATTATTGCACTCGACATTAAAAATTGTAATAAGTAAATTTCGCTTTGATCAGAAGTTAATACAGGTGGTATAGTTGCAGAAAATTTTTTTTCAAACTGAAAATAAGAATGAAGAAAATGTAATGAAATAAATGGATAAATTTTTTTTTTAGACTTTGTACTGGCATCAAATGTTTTTTTATTTTGATGCCAGTAAAAATTTCGACTAAAAACCTTTGTGCATTTACTTTAAAAAAATGATTGCTCTCTGAAGCTTGAATGAAAATGCTTTAAAATAATAAATAAAAATTACCAATTTTAATTCTTCTACGTTTGGAGTTATGATTTCTCGAATCAATACACAAGCCATTGCAAAATTATTTTTAGTATCAAATAAAACATCATCTTTCAATAAAATTTTTCCAATTTTCTTTGTGAGCAAACATAAAAGTGATTTTTGACTGTCATTGAAATCTATCGATTGTTTCAATTTTTTTTTTAAAGAATCGTCAACTTCACATTTATTAAAATTTTGATTCTTTAATTTCAATATTAATATAAGGATTCTGCTTAGGGAATGCAGTAATTCCAAAGCTACAATTGTTTTCCCACTAAAAAAAATTAAAGTAATATCTTATTAAAAACATATTATATATAATTTAATATCAGTAAAGCAAGCAATACATGATAACATACTTTTTTGAAAATTCTTCCTGACATTCATCAAGTGCAAAATCGATGAATGATAATAAATTAGAGGCCGAATAACACACAGCATCAATGGCATGTATAAAATTATCAAAGCAACCATTAATAGCATTGCAAGCGTTTCGCATATCAACGACATTTTTAGATTCTCTACATTTACTGATTATCAAATTAATATTTTCCGATATTAGTATTCGAACGTTTTCTTGTGTTTCGCATGGTAAATTATTTACGGTTTTCGACAATAAATTTGTATTTTTTAGTTTTCTTTCGTACTGTAATTTAAAAAACCATTCTTCAACAAGAGTTTTTACCTCTGCAAATGGTTTAATATTTCCTTCAATCATCGTTAAAAAAATTAACGCATGAAATAATCTTGATAAAATTTTTATGAAACCGACATAAATTACAATGAGTCAGTTATTTTATATATATAGTTATAATTGCAAGATTTTATGTAATACTTAATCAAAAGTAATAAAAGGTAGTAATTATTAAAATTTTCCAAAAAAAAATTTGTAAAAATTAAGATAATTTATAAATTAATATCGTGCCTATTAACCAAGTTTTCAAATTTTGAAATCGGCAGCATGGTATAGTGTGTTCAAAATTACATGTTTAGACAAAGTTTTAATTTTATCAGTGAAGCCAACATAAACTTTTAAAAGTTTTTATAGGTAATGGATCCAACCGTTTTTTTATTTGCTAGGGCCTATTACAAAAAAATTTGCTTTTTACTTAAGAATTATTAATACTTTCCAATTATCAAAGTAATTAATAAATATTGCAATAAAAAAATAAATTTATTAGGAAAAAAACCAATCGCTTTTTTAATATTATTATTAAACATTTATTACAAAGAATTAATAAAGTCCCAAACAACTCAAATAAAGTATAACGAAGTGAAATAGCATATGCAAAATTATCAAATTATAAAAATCATCGTGAAAAAGAAAAAACAAATCTTTTGTTAATACTTATCTTTTCAAAATCTAAATTAAATCATTTATTATTTAAAAGTAGTAAAAGTAAAATTTGGCGCTACCATTCACCTCTATGACAATTAAAACGCGGAAATTTAGAAGGCTGTGAAATTTAAAAATGTAACCGTTAAACGATGGTATGCAGTAGATATCCGAAAGAATACAGATACTACGAATTCATATTGAAAAAAAAATGTTTTCGAAAGTTAAAAATAAACGTTTGGGAGAAAAAATCAAAAGACAAACTTATGAAAAAGGCTGATTTGTACTTGAAACGTACAATATTACGTAAATATTTCGATTATTGGATTGTTTTTTTAAATCAAGTATTGGTTAAGAAAATTAACCAACGACTGGCAAAAACATTTCACGAGGAAAAAATCAAAATAAAAGTTTTAGATGCATTTATGAGAAACGTGGAAAATAACAAAATCATTTACGATATATTAAAAAGTAAATCGGATTTTAATTTGAAAAATAAAATTTGGCACAGGTGGAAACATTACGTAATGAAACGTGTGAGAGTGAATAAAGTCAAAGGATTAGCATCTAAAATAAGAGAAGAAAAATTATTTATAAATATAATAAAAATATGGTATTTTCGTTTGCAAGAAAAAAATAAATCACAGGTACTTTACTTTAATATATAAATTAAATAAAAAAATTTCATTCGTTAATTAATAATAATTTTTTTTCTTTTTTCCAGGTGATCATGTTAAAAGCAGTAAAAAATCATGAAAAAAAATTGAAAAAAAAATATATTGAAAAATGGAAAATATATTTAAAAAGGGAAAAAATAAAAAAAACAATAATGGAATTAGCAAATGTTTGCTACGGTGAAAAACTAAAAGAAAAAATATTTTTCTCATGGAAAAGGTACAGTTTAAAAATCAAATTAATAAAAATTAAAACAGTACAAATAAATAATATTCAAGTTAATTTACTTATCGAGTGTTATTTAAATAAATGGTTAGATAAATATGACAAATTATGGAGAGAAAAAAATAAAAAAAATGAATCATCAGCTGATGATTTATGTAAAAAAAAATTATTGTCGAAAAATTTCAATGCCTGGATGTTGTTCAAAGAAAGAGAAAAAATAAAAAATAATAACATTAGAGAATTTTCAGGAAAGGTACAAAGGATTATTTTAAACTATTATTTAAATGTTTGGTTTGAAAAAAAAGAAGAAAAAATTAAATGGCAGGAAATGGAAAAAAAAGCTTGTGAGTGGCGAATAAAATATTTGATTCGATCAAACGTACAAATCCTTCATGAAAAATTAAGGGAAAAAGAAAAAGAGCTGGAAAGGGATGTTAAATTTATAAATTCTTATTATTATATGTTAGTTAATAAGGTTTTCTCCCATTGGAAACAATACACCACGTATAAAATAATAAAGAAAAATCGGTTGGAAAATTCGTTGATTTTTCACGAAGAAAACCTAACGAGAAAATATTTTAAAAAATGGAAAATTTTTTACCAGGAAAAATCTAAAAAATATGCTGCCTTGTATTATTTCAAACAAATTTTACTCTGTAAATATTTCGAATATTGGAAATTATTTATTAAAAATAAAAAAAATTTAAATTTGTTGTTGATGGATTATGATAAAAAAAGAAATTTGAAACTTTTAAATTTTACTTTCGATTTGTGGAAAAGGAAAATTAAGGTTATGAGTGATAAAATGAATTTTTCCAGTCGATTTTACGATAGAAAAAAAATTTCATGTGCTTTTCAAACGTGGAAAAAATATTACGAAAGAAAAAAAATGAAAAGAATTCGATTTACCGACACGAAAAATTATTTAAATAAAATAATTATTGAAAATTATATTATCGAATGGTTCGATTTGATGATATATAAAAAAAAATTAAACGATAAAGTTTGCGTGGGTGTTAAAAACAAATCGTTTAGGTTGAAAAGAAAATTTTTTAACATTTGGTTTAAATTTATTGAAAAATCTAACGATATACGGCGTAATGTTGAATTATTTAACGAAATAAAATCAAAAATTTTATTACAATTTTACACAAATAAAATATTAGAAATAATGAATGAAAAACAAATAATGATAAACAATGAAAAACTTGCTGATAAAACCTTTCCTTTCCTATTGAAAAGAAAATTTTTTAAAAGATGGATTTCGTTTATGTCATGGAGAACAAACACGATAATTAAATTCAATTCTGATAACGGTTATCACAGAATTCAAAAAAATGACGTCACTTTCAACTCCCTTAATAATAATAAAACTATGAGAAGGGAACCTATGATACCTGATTATTTAAAACGTAAACCTAAAAGGATATTCGACGAAGGTCAAATTTTTATTTTTACCCAAATAATTAACATTTTAACTGCTTTCGTATTCATTTTTTTTTTTTTTTATAGATTTTTTGACTACTGCCACGTCCGCGGATAATAACGAAACGTTTAGAGTTTACGAACCTGTTAATAAACGACTACCATTCATTCGTCAAACGTCATTTCCTGTTTTTGACGTTAGAAAAAAATTTTAATTTTTTCATGAAATGTCTCCCCAACACAATTCCCCCCCCCCCCATTACGAAACAATGTAAATTTTTCAAAAAAAAAAAAAAACAATTAATAATAATAATAATAAACTTATTTATTAACATAAAACGCAATTCATTAACAATTTAAATAAATAAAATTATTTATAAAAATTACGGGTAAATTTTTTTAAAGAGGGGGAGAGGGAGGGGGAGGGGGAGAGATAAAAACTTTATAAAAAATAAATTAATAAACGTAATTGTCTTCCACAGAAGAAATATCGCTGGAGTTCAAAGGATGAGGTTCCAGCCAACCGCCTTCGTTTAATAAATCCATTTCGAATTGTTCATTTGTTTCGCTTATGGTGAGTATTTTTTGCTGAAATTATTATTAAATAACACTCATTAATCATCAAACATTTTGACAATTTTCCCCTACATTTTCTTTTTTTTTTTTTTTTTCCCCATTTACCTTTTTAAATTTTTTCGCATTGACGGGTACTTCCGGTGGATCTTTCAAAGTTCCATCTTCGTTTAAATAAATTTGTGATATTAAATTAATATCGAAAATCGTACTGTTTAAATCACTTACTATTCCAGATTGGGAAAAACTTTTCTGTAGAAAAATTAAAAAGAAATTCTATTAAAATCATTTTTCGATAAAAAAAAAAAACTAATAATAATAATGATGATGTTTACGTCTTTTTCAAAAAATCCTTCGGAAAAATCATCGAATTTTTCCTGGATACGAGTTATTTCATCGATTCCATTACTTGTTGTTGTTGCTTCAAATAAATTTTCCGAAAAATTTTCACATTTGTTGTTTTCTATTGTTTGTAATTTTGCTTTTTTCGGTTCGGAAGTATCATTATTACTTATTTCATCATTTATTATTTTTCTTTTGGCGTTATTATTACCACCAAAATCAATTGAACAATTTAAATTTGAATTTATTTCTCCTGCAATAATTAAAGTTAATTTTTTTAAAAATGTGATTCGAATAATTACTTATAAAAAAAAAAACTAAAAATTTTACCGAAAGGAGGAGGAGATTCGATGACTAAATTTTGTTTTTCCACGACAGGATTTTCCTTTTTTTGAAAATAATTACTTATACGACCATTTTTCAAATTCGTTTTCGGCGGTTCTCCATCTAAATTAAATTTCTTTGATTGTTTAGGTCTCGTGTCTTTATTCGTCACATTTTTCCCTTTTTCCACGTTTGATTTTTTTTTATTTAAATCTTTAATTGTATCAAATCCGAAATTATTATCGCTTTTAAGTATTTTTGATTCAGATCCACCGCTGGTAGGAGAAAGATTCCTGAAAAAAAAAAAATTAAAAATCTGTCGATTAAGAAAGCACAAAATTATTTTTAAAAAAACAAATTTTATACCTTTTTTTACTGTTTTTTTGTACTCCAAATTTTTCAAAATTAAAATTATCTTCTAAAGTTTCAACATAACTACATGGCACCACACAAGGTTCCGATATAACTTCCTAAAAAGTAAAAAAGAATTCATTAACCGATTTATAAAAATGGCTGATTATAAATAAAGTAAAGTAGGTTAACCTTTGTAATGTCAGGCGTTTCCTCTACTAAAACTATTCCCACGTCTTTTTCATTATTATGTTTCAATAAAAGAATTGTCATTTGTATTTATCGAATTGCAAAATTTTTCAACCGATGAATATGCGACAGCTTGAGCTATTTCACTTTCAGGTATGATCCTTTTATTATATTTGGGTTTGTAAATGTTCTGAAATTTATATTTCCTACAAACATTTCTATTTCTTTTTGTAATAACCATAATAAAAAACTCACCACAAATACTTTCAAATTCTTTCATAAATGATTCTGATAATTGAGATTTATTAGACGGCAATTGTATTACTACAATATTTTTGTTTCCTAATTTATCATAATTTCCATTTAAGGTTAATAAATATGCTTCTCCACCAGCACTAATAACAACTTCTCTTAATGTATCAAATTGGGTTTTGGTAGGAAAAATAAAAATTTTATTTTTAAACAAGTCTTGCCTCTTGTCGTTTGGTTCTAACGAAACCAAAGATGTATCCAATACTGATTCTTTAATATTTGGCCTGTAATTTTTAACATCTGGATGCATACTTTTATTTTTTACCGCTTTGATTAACTAAAACACAATTTTTACATTTTAATTATTAACAAAATTAATAATAAGTTAATTTTTTCACATAAAGAAATTAAAATTATTGAAAGTAATTACTTCTTTGATGTAATCCAATGTGACGATGGGAACTCCATTAATCAAAGCGAGAACAACTTTGATTGTTAATGTGATTTCGTTAACAATAACCAAATTACAATCATTTGAATAGGAATTTTTAAGTTCCCCATCAACATATTGTAATAATTCTTGAATTGATTTTTTTTCATCGCCATGAATTCCAGAAGTACATGCAATTACAGGTGTATACTCTAACCTGTAAAAAAAGACTGTACAATTTGTAAATCAAGTTTAACAAATATTGACATCAGAATTTATGCTTTTTTAAATTTTGAATTGAAATCTAGCTTCAGTTTTTACATATTTATTTGAAAACATTGAAGATTTTTGGTAAGTATATAATATTAATGCATTAAAATAAATCAAACTTCTTAAGGTTTTATCCATTTCGACAAAATTATTAATTTAAATAATTTTGAGATTACCTCCAAATGTTGTCAAGTAAGCCAAATTTAATCATATTTCCATGGTTTAATTTTATCTTCTCACCACTTTTGATTTTTTCCCATTCTTCATCTACTTTAACATAAGTACCATATTTAGATTGTTCATCGACAATCCATACTCCAGTGACAGTATTTACATCAAAACTACAATTAATTTTTTTTGCTATGTATATAGTGCTATGCTTTCTACTTATTGAAGCATCTTCATCTAATTCAATGTCACAATTTTTACGTCCAACAGTATAAGAATGCTTATCTGACACAAAAAAAATTTCTTCGCCTTGAAATAAAAAAAACAAAAATTAATTGTTGTTGAGTAACAAACACAAACTTTTTTAAAATAAATAATTTATTT